CTATTCTATTCTATTCTATTCTATTCTATTCTATTCTATTCTATTCTATTCTATTCTAAAGGGCTATAGCACAAAAAGTACCAATAAAATCAACGGTCACTTTAAATGAACAGTTTTTAGATTTAAGACATCTCAAAGCTATACTGGAAAGGTCATGTGAATGACTATCCTTACAGTTCTTGTTTAAGAACTACCTGGCTCTTTTTGCCAGGTTGTCCTGTGGGAAAGACATATTACTAACCTGCTCTGAATAGCATGCCTGCACATTATTTATTGTTTTTACTTGCCCTTCAAGTGCTACTTATTCCTTGTGACAATGGCAATGCCCTCTTCTCGCTGCTTTCCTGCTTTAGCAGGGAAGAATGCGGTCCTGCCCTATTGGCTCAAAGAGGCTCAGACACTTATGAAGAGCAACAGGAAACAATCAAAGAAATATCTGACAAAGACACTAATGAAGAGCAACAGAAAATAATCAAAGAAACATCTGACAGGGAGAAAGTAGCATTCTTTCAACACAGATGGTAGAAAACAAGAGTTTTATTATTGCTGATAGGTACAGTTTAAATAATACTTGCCTTTCCCAATGATCTGATCCTTGTGCAAAATCAGCTGCTTTTCTGGAATGAGGACATCTTTCACTTCTTCCAACAATTCTGGACGAAAATTATTAACGGAGTATGAAGGTACTCGCATGAAAGGCATAGCAGAACCATCACTGCTGCCTGTGTAGGAGGCACTTCCAAATCGCGCTCCAGAAGAGCGTCTGTTTGCGGTCTCTGCCAGAGAAATACCGTGAACAGAAGGTGGAGAGGTTATTAAACAGAATTTTTGTTTATATTGACCACCAGAAGGCAGTACAGGAACAGTTTCGCTCTATTTCAAATTCATCAGATGTACATAATCATTGATCTTGCTACGGGGCTCAAACTCTCTTTTGGGAATCCAGACATTAGGACATATCTGACAAGTTCCAAACTGTTATATCATGTAAAAAAATAATAATAGAGAAATTCCCCCCTCCCCTCACATCTCTGAGGGGATGACATAATATAGCACTTGTTCCTCTCTGTAGAGAAGTTTAAAGGTGGATATGCCATTCTAAAATAAAATAAGATGGTGAGAAAGTTAATTCATTGCCCATCTTACATTTTTCCCTTTTCTGAATCTTTGGCAAGATAGTATCTGCAATAGTGGTGAATATCTGTAGCTCGGGTGTAGGAGGACGATGAGGGTTTGTTTTCCGAGCTGGTGAGTTGGTTTCTGAATGTTTCCTTACCAGGTTAGGTAACATCTTCAGCGAAGTTTAGGGGATGTCCGTGTCAGTGTTCTTCTGTTTATAAAGGCTTCAGGTTTGGGTGTGTCAAGTGAAGGTCAGCTGTGAGTCATCAATGAGTCTTGTGATGGGTCTTGTGATAAGATTACATCGGGTCAGGGTCCTTGGGAGGTAAACTACTGATGGTGGGGAGAATTGCATGGGTTGGTTGAGGGTCAGTGCTGTCTCTGGTTGTCTGTACGATGGATCTGGATTCTGAGGGGTTCATAGGTTGGTTGTAGGTTAATGTATCTGTTGATGGCATTGCTTCTAGAGTGCCAGCCTTCAATGAACTCATGAGTGTGGCGGACGGTAGCATGGCCAATGATTTTTGTGTTGAACTGGTGCTGTTTGGTGTCGGTGTGGGTAGAGATTAAGGATTTGGGATCGTGGCGTTTCACTGCCAGCTGGTGTTCGTGGACCCTGGGTTTTAATTGACATGATGTTTGTCCCACGTAGAATTGGTTGCAATAGTAAAAGTTGATTTTGTAGATTACATGTTTTTTTTTAATCCTTCTGTATTTTAAATACAGAAGGAAGCCCTTATAAATAGAAGAACACTGGCACTGACATCCCCTAAACTCCGCTGAAGATGTTACCTAGCCTGCTAATGAAACATTCAGAAACCAACCCACACGCTCAGAGAACGAAGCCTCACCCCCAACACAGTATCTTCACATTGTAATGAACTATTGCAGGTTCCTCCCATCGATGTAACTGGAAGAATGGGGGCAGTGTTTTAGTACCAGAAGGGCATCAGGCTATGTAGTTCTTGAGCAATGTATTTTTATTTATAGAAATATTCAGAAGGAATAATTCCATTTAGGGAAATGTCAGTCTGGGGGGGGGGGGGGGAAGAAATTTAAAAAACCCTTCCCAACCAAACACATTTGTGCATCAACATATCAGAGTGGTAGCTAGCAAGATGTTCGATCTCATTGGCTCTAAAATACTAGTTCCAAGTCCTGCCATGAATTCTTACCAGAAGAAGCCACGTATCCAGTATTAGAAGGAAGAAGAGGAATTCCAATTGTGCCCCTGTTGAGGCTGGAGAGCCTTTCTAAATTCTCAGTTCCTGCAAGAAGAAAACAAAAAGCCAATCCAGCAACATTCATCTCATCACGATTCTAGAGTTGGTCCATTATCCACTCTTCGCTTATTCACTTTGTCAATCCAATGATTAAGCTATATTTGATACATGCCCATTCTCTGATGAAGTGTCAAAATTAAATGCAAGCAGGTACTGCTATGACTATGAAGAATTTATATGGAATAAATAAACACCTTCACTGACAATACTTTTCAGGCCAGAAAGTATCATAAGAAACTTGCAGTTACCTCCCTTCTTCTTCCATTGAATATATCTCAATGATAGAAATACCGAACCGGAAAGAATCAGAATGCCTACGGCAGCTCCCAATACAACAGCAAGAGAAGAGACCAGGGGGATTGAAACCACAGATCCTAAATGTTTGCATTTTCCATTCACACAGATCTACAAGAAAGAAAAGACATGTGATTATTAGCATTAATCAATACCAGAATCTGGGGCTGGGAGAGCAGCAGAAAAGAAGGACATGGGAAATGGACAGCTGACATTTCCATTCTTTGCACAAGGGGTTTAAATATAAGCAGAAGCACATCATCACTGCTGGTATAAAAGATGAGATTGGTACTCATCTAGGAGGTGGGATTATATATACAGTGTGTGTGTGTGTGTGTGTGTGTGTGTGTGTATTCATTCTTAAGTTTTCGCAGGTACTTACATGTATGGTATTCGGCTTTGTTCGGGTATTTTCCCACGTCATTATAGTTGTGCTTTTAAAGTTGTAGCAACATTTCGGCAGAATCTCATCTGCCATCATCAGGCTTCTGTATTGTGTTCGTCTGTGAGTCAGACTTTCACAGCCATTTCTGTTTTAAATTTGGTGCTAGCCTACTGCTGTGCCAGAATGGTTTTTTTCTTCATCCCGATTGGTTGGGAGTCTTGGTCTGTGTTTATTGGTCTTGGAGTTCTGCTTGATTGGTGTTTCTAATATCTTCTGTCTGTTTTGTAGCTTTTTTTGTCTTGATTGGCTGGCAACATTGTGTTTCCTGTATTGGAGGCTTTTAGTGCGGCTTTGCTCCGAGTAAATGGACGGCTATCATTTATTAGGAAACTAGGTTTCATCTGGGTCTCTTCTGAATGTAAGAAACACCAACCAAGCAGAACACAACAAACTCCAAGACCAATAAACACAGAGCAAGACTCCCAACCAATCAGGATGAAGAAAAAAACCATTCTGGCACAGCAGTAGGCTAGCACCAAATTTAAAACAGAAACGGCTGTAAAAGTCTGACTCACAGACGAACACTATACAGAAGCCTGATGATGGCAGATGAGATTCTGCCGAAACGTTGCTACAACTTTAAAAGCACAACTATAATGACGTGGCAAAATACCCGAACAAAGCTGAATACCATATATATATGTGTGCATTTGAGTACATAAACTAGTGGTAAGGATTTTGGGAATGGAGAAAAGTAAAACAATCACTCTCTTTCAGCCCAACTCAATTTGCAAGGTTGTTCTTGTGTGGAAAGTAAGAGGAAGAAATGAGCTTAAGGTATGTTTGCCTCTTTGACGTATTTATAAAAATAATAAAGGCGGGATAAAAATAAGTGAAAATGATTTCTTATGGAATGACAAACTGAAAGTAATTGTAGATTTTGAGAATCAATGAGAAACTTATTATTAAAAATATGGAATAAATATAAACCCAGCCTGTTTCTAAAGATATCCTTACTGACATCCAAAGAAGAAACATTTTATAGAAGAGAAAAAAAGCAGATAAAGAATGATGGTTAACATATGAGTATTTATTAATACAAGATAAAGAATAAATTAAGATGAAAATAAGGGAATAATTATATAATTTTATAATCATAATTATATGATTATAAAATTAATTGAACTCACACGCTCACAACCAGCGAACCGGTTGTTAACATAAGTGCAGCCGACCTCTAACTGTATCTTGTAACATCTCCCATCCTTCCCAGATGATCTGAGGGGTGATTTTGCCATTTCCTCAATAGTGGGGTGAAGAAAAACCAAGGGTGGGATGCAGTGAATCCGGAGTGTTTTTCTGCACTATCCCACTGCCCACATGAAATGGTGATCTGTTTAGGGTTAACTCACCAGCAAGGTGAAGACAAGTGCAGGGTGGCATGACTACAACGATAAAAATGTAAATGTGAAAAAATGGTGGTTTGGGGGAGATATCCCCCATCTACATGCCTCCAAGAGATAGCCTGTGGCAATTATCTGAGAGGAGGAAACACCATGCCAGCAAAGATTAATCCGGAAAAAGTTAAATTGGGTTTCCAGCTGGGCAATCTGGGAGGTGGGTAATGAGGCGATGAATGCATGAGCACTGTTGCTATTTTTCAGTATGTGCAGAAAGCCAGAGAGCTGGAACTCATCGTGTAACCAAAGGTTTTAGTACTCTTCGGAGATTCTCAGGATACCGTCTCCTGTCTTGCATCTGTCTAAATTCACAATGCTTGGGAATGTTAAGGATTCAAAGTAAATTGTATATAGCAAAGGACTGTAGGGATCTTTAATGAATCCAGGCTGGAAAAACACTTCCTGTGTGACAAAATGCATCTAAGCATCAGTGCAGAAGGACATCAGGAACTTTTCCCAATATTCTGCCACCAAAATGTGCATTTGGTGTGCACATAACTAAATGCACATAAATCCTTTAAAAAATTACCGTAATGGTCAAAATTAAAAAGTGGAGCCAGTGAAGGAACTTATTTGGGAATAAGCAGCAAAAGGGTGATTCCTTTAAAATGTTGATTTGGAAGATTTTAAACAGACAAAGAATATTTCTTGTTGTTTGTTTAAAATCCTATAAAAACATATAAAGACCTGTGTTTAAGTGTAAGAATCTTAGTACTTTCTGTTTGTTTTTTATTTGTTTACATTCTCCTTAGTTTGTATTAGTTTTTCATCTTTATAATTTTCAGTTTCAATTAAAAACTTTTATATAAAATGAAATAGATGCAAAGAAAGGTGTGTACTAACTAATACTAACTATCTATGATAGTTTCTAGCATGCTTGATTGCACATGAGTTTTGCAGCTATTGGATAAGTGGATAAGAGTACACTCAGGTAGGAAGGACAGGCTGAAAAGGGCTAAGCTGAGGTTCAAAGGGAGAAAATCAAATCAGCATTAGTTCTGACTACAAAGATATTTTTTTTCTATACCTGTACTGGCAAGCCACTCGCAGGGATGTTCAGGTGGTTGGGTATTCGGCAGATCACCTGATTCTTCAGTATACTGAGGTAACAATCTGTACCATCCACCAACACAGAAATGTTCATGCAGCCTGCCAGACTATCGAGTCCCTTATGCTGTGCAAAGTAAAATACTTGATTATGGACAAGGATCAATCCTGCTCATCAGCATTTTCTACTGGATTTATATCTCAGTTCTACCCAGTGTCCCAAATAATCCTGCACTGGATTCCACATGCACATTTCTTAATCCAAAAGAACAATTGGTGTTGTAAATTCTCAAAGTACCTTAACTCCCTGCCTCCATTTGCTTGTTTTGTCAGTGAGGCATTTTCTCACAATTATTTCCCCTTTATATCCAGCCCTTGCAAGACTATAAACTACAGTTCTTTCACATTTTCTTTAATTGGTTACTTTCAACAATGTACATTAGGGCTGTGTAAACCTCAAAAATGAACCAAAAGAAGTGCTTCCGATCTCAGAGTCCCTCTCTGTGTTCTTTAAAGCAGCCCAACCTTTTTCAGGCTGTCTCATTAAACTCTATTGACCATGCTTAAAGCAGCAGCACCTTTTTTCAAGTTTACACACAAACACACACACCCCTGAAAAATCAGGGATACTCTGTTCATCCAAGCCTGGAGTATCTCTTCCAAGTAATTTTTGAAAGACGTTGAGTTCTGCTATATATTTTTTGTATTTATGTGCCAATTTCTACACCGTGAATTGACTTGAATTTGAGTTAATATATACTTACTTGAAAGCATGCATATGTCAACAATAAAATATAGAGAGGGTTATTGACTCTGAAGCAGCACACATGAGCAGAAACTTTCTAACATTCATGCAGAAGAGCATTTAAGTGACTTAACCAGCATAGCCCAAGTTACTGATGCTACAGTGTTCATGTAAGTATACTATTCAAGTAGGCAAAGGTATATATATCCCAGACCAGTTTAACAGATTTGAATTAGCTCTTGTTCTCCCAAGGCTGCAGAGCCTTCCTTGCTAAATTTCTTGGATAGGCAAGCTCCATACTTACAGTGATCTCAATCTTGTCCTCTCCTTGTTGGAGTACATATAAGTGATTTTCAGAGAGAAAGAGATCAATGACTGGCTTAGGGTAGTAGCGGATACGAAATGTCTTCTGCCCCAGAACTCCATCCATCAAGACACTCAGGTTCCCATAAATATTTCCCACTTTGTTTTCAGATGGATAATCAGGACTTTGACACACCAACCTATCTGTGGACAGTGGCCTTTCACATACCTGAAATGACAGAAATTGGAACACTTTCATCTGGCTTCTTTCCATCAAATTAATCCATGCCAATATACCAGCTCATGCAAAAGTTCAACATATGCAAAATGAAAAAGACCATAAAAGGAATTGCTATAGGAAAGTGTTCAGAGCTCGAGAATATATCTGAATGTGAAAAATGGCGGCACATGCATCCTCTAAATTAAAGGAAAACTGTGTGACATAGAATTTCCTTTCCACTTTTCTTTTTGCTGACTGAGTTCACTGACATCCTTGAAGCAGTTATTTAACTATTCTGGCAAGTTCAAAGGACTGAAAGGAGGCAATTAAAACCATAATTTAAATTTGCCAAAAAAGGAAACAATAAACCTTACATTTCATTCAAATTTATCATTGCTACTTATAGAATCACCAAGCTGGAAGAGACCTAAAAGAACATTTCCCCCAGCTCCTATTCAGTGAGATATTCACTAATGCATCTCTGACAAATGACCACCCAGTCTCTGAAGGAAGAAGGCTTCAGTGGAGGAGAACTATTGACATCTTTCCTATACAGTGATGGAAACCCTAATTATTTAGATTCTTTGATACTGGCTATTGTAAATAAAAAGGTTAGCATTTACAATGTATACAAGCTGATTTAATATATAAATATCAGAATGAGATGCACTCTTTTTAATAGTATCTTGTAATTTAGTAATTTCTTGGATGTGTGATTCTTTTCAAATCTGTGATATGGATTTTGTCCCTCATATAATGGGTGAAAATAATTCAACCTTCTTAGAGAAGATTTTCTTCAGTGTCTCTTCTCTTCATCTGTGACATTCTCTTCTGAATGTAAGTATGAATCACAGAGTTACAGAATGGGAGGATTGGAGGTGTGTATATATAGCACATATAATTGTAGAATTACAGAATTAGAAAGAAGCATTGGCCATTAAAGTTTTGGAAACAGCCAAGTAATAGTGGAATTTCTATAGCAGAAAACTATTATATTTCCATGTCCAATTCAGTTCTTTTCTCCTATACCAAAAGATTTGTAATGCAACACAAGGAATGTTTCAACAATATCCAGCGAGTTTGTTATCTGCTAAACAGATTAATCACAGTTTCCAACACTTTAATGCTATAGAATGAGGTCAATCATTTTATAATAAGCAGAAGAAAAGCTAATTCACACGAAGTAAAAAGAATTCTAGAAGCAGCTATAAAAATGAAAATAAAGATGAAATCAATCTAAACAAGGATAGGGGGAAAAGTAATACAAAAGAGAAGTGACAAAAACGATTGTACTAAAAATGGAAGAACTTTTAAAAGAAATGTTAAAGATAAAACCAAACATCATTTACATATGCGATGTCAGAACCTTCCAAGTCCTTAAAAAATATTTAAGGATCACCTTTATCTTGTACCTTGACTCATATACAAACATGTACTCAAAGCTAGAAGAAATCATTTTCTTGAACAACTTGCTCTTTTCCTAATCAGTTTCTGAGTAAAATTGCTGATATCTCTGCCCATCTTGAACTTGAGATGGTTCAGAGTAAGTGAGGAGAACAGCTGTGCAAACTCTGCATCTTCCATTAGCTGGAGAACAAGTCACTGCAAGTGGAATCATGTTCGACTTCTCCAGCTTCTTGCTTGTTTCGAGACAGTTAGGATTCTTTATTGTACAGAAAACAATGGCAAGGGAGATGAGATGGAGCAAAGCTTACTTTCGTCATCACTCTTTCATGCCATTCTAATCTCCAACTGGATTAGAATGGCCAACTAAGACTCTAGCCATACTGGCTGGAGAATTCTGTGAATTGACCCACATCTTACAGTTGTTGGGGTTGAGAAATACTGGTCAAGACTGATTTTCTCCCTCTGTATATTACAATTTCTTAGGCACAAGAGTGCCTAAGGCCTGAGCCAAGTTACTACTGAAAGAGCCTATTAAAGCCATTTTCTAGCTTTTCCACATGTAAGGGACTGCTTTACTTCCAGAAAATGTATGAAAATAATGACTAAGGTGAAGATAGCCTTGAATGCTATGCAGAATGCTAGCTTCTCGTAGTAGTTTTTATATGCAATGCAACACAAAGCAGCACCTATTCAGGCAATTGCCATGAAATCCACAGGGAGCCCTTTTTGAGTAAATAGCTAAAGTCTTCATGAATAAATATCTACCATTCTCTTTCTCTTTTTCTCTCTTCTGAAAATACTCACTTTAGCTTTGCTTTGTACTCCAGCAGACTCAAACTGCAGCCTCATGTTATACACTGAATCCAAATTGGTACCATAAATGTAGATATTGGAGCCCCTGCAAGGAATTGGAAAGATGTGACATAAGAGCAAAGGTGTTCCATTCTAAGCGCTCTAAAGTTGCATGTCAGTGATGTGTTCATTATCCATGAGAAACTGTAATCCTGTATCTAGTTCCTAACATTACATGCCTGCACAGGCCAATCAGAAGCTCTCACCTGTCTAAAAATTGAATGCATTCCTAACTGAATTCACTGGAAATTACCTCAGTGCAAAGGATGGAGCTGCTGGGAAAACTCTTAATTCCATTGAATGAGACAGATGCAGTGAAATCTTATCAATTTTTATTATCCATAAATGTTTATAAAACTGCAGTCTTAAAGGTTCAGGACACTAGAAAACTTAAATGAACAGAGCGCTACATGATTCAATATTAAGATATGGAGACACAAGAAGAAGAAAGGATATGCAGCTCAGTAGAAAACAATTTAATATTCAAAGGAAGTAGTTAAATAGTCTAAGATATTTTTGTGGATATTTTTAAAAATAATCCATAATAAATATGTGGATTTATTAATTAAATTTCCTGATATGTGAGAGTTTTGCACCTTCTGTAATATATATTTATTATACCGGTGGCCTTTTAACTCACATAAGCCTTCTCAATGTAAGCTTTTAAATACAAATTTATACATATGATTTTTTGGTATCCATGTTCCCCAAATATACACCCTTGTTTAAAGTATCTTTTACATGGGAAGAGTAGGATAGAAATCAGAAATCTGGGTGTAGAAGAAAAAGGAGACTCACTCATAACTGCAGTTGGGAGTAATATCATATATCTGGGGGTCTTTTCGATACCAGAAAGGCTGAGGAGAAAGAAATCGCTCTTCATCTATTATTACAAACACAGATGCATTGATCAAGTTGCTTGAAGGTGGGGTGGTACAAATTATGGCCTCTTCTCTCTGACTAGGGAGAAGGGGAAAAAAAGCATGACAGAACTCTCCTTACCAATAGATCTTTTATCCGTTTCTTCTGCATCAGACTTTTCCAGAAAACCCCTTTCCACATGTCCTAAGACTGCCAGTCCGAAATTTCCAGCAAAAGCAGCTAAAACCACCCAGTTGGGAATTCTGAGAGTTACTACTCTAATACACACCTGGAGGCACTGTATTAGAGAATATTATTCAACAATGTCAACTTTAAGAATGCACTAGACAACCCATGATCCATTGGATCATCATTTCAGAGATATTTCTTTATGCAAAGAGAAAAAAAGAAATTAAAATTAGCTCAGTAAGTTTAATGGTATTTGCTATCTGATGAAGCATTAGCAATAGCACCTAGACTTTTTATACCACTTCACAGTGCTTTTCTGCCCTCTCTAAACCATTTATAGAGTTAGCATATTGCCCCCAACAATCTGGGTCCTCATTTTACCGACCTCAGAAGGATGGAAGGCTGAGTCAATCTTGAGCCGGTGAGAATGGAACTGCTGGCAGCTGGCAGTCAGCAGAAGTAGCCTAGATTAACCACTGCACCATCCCGGCTCTGAAGGTTTTGAAGGTTCAGCACCAGGTTAAGGATACTGGTGACTTTGTCTGGTCCAATGATATCATCTCATGTAGGAAGCATTCTACATATTTCTATCTAACTAATGTAGCAGTATTAGAGGACATTACTCAATAAACTTTGGAACAGCACAGAACTTAGAAAGCTGTGGTAATTGGTAAGCCGGCATAAAGAGGCATGTCTTGCAATGCTGCCTTCTGCTCGCCTCCTATGAATGCAAGTTCAGACTGTCATCTTCATGACAGTAGCAAGACTTTAGTAAATATAATCCTCTTGGTATCCAAAGGAAACTTTGAAATGTACGCCATTATTCTCCAGTTGTGCTGGATTCACTCAAGGAAAAACTTATTCAGACTTCCCCATAATTATAGAATAGGAAGAATCACACTATTGCAATAACATGAAGGGGTAATTTACAGGGTATCTTGATAGGATAGTATCTATATGTAAATATACTTGGTTTTTGTACCTTTGAGGAGCTACCGCCTGTGTTTTTTCCCCATGATTAGCCTAGGCAAGCGTTTATGAAAGAAGGGATACCAAGTGAATTGATCTGTGCCTTTCCCCAATCCCCAAAAACTAGGCTATGTTCTTTATAATGTGATGAAATCTTATAAGATCTGGGTTGCCTGTCATCTGGGCTCCTGGCTTTGTTTGTTAAGAACTTGTATTGCATTGTATTTCTTTGCTAGATTAATAATGAAACCAGCACTTGGAACTCTCCAGGCATTTGGCTCTTTAGGAAAGAGTTTTTCTATTGCACCAGGCATGTTGAGAGTTAGGTCCCTGGAAAGTGTTCTTTTCTACAAAACTAGGGAATTAAATACAGGCCATTCAATACAGGGAAGGCATGTTAATGGACAAATAACTAATTTCCCCCTCACCATGTAGAGTAAGCCTTAATTTATGATTCTGTGTGGTCAAAATTCAATTCATCATGTAAAAACTGAGTGGTACCAATTCTTATATAGATGTAATTATGATTATATTACTATTCTTGCATCTGAGTTGGAGTTTTTTATTTTTATTTTTGTTTTCTGTATCTTGTCAGCTCTATTCATCTAGTTTTCAATTTCTTCTTCATGGCTGCATTAAGGCAACCCCTCCTCCCAACCCTGGTTGCATGAAATATTCTGAGTAATAGCTGATTGCTAATTGGTATGAGTGATTACTTCCTCACTACAACAAACACTGCACAATTCACTTGCTTTCCTACCAGAAACTGAGTCTATGACTTATCTGGAAAAAATGAGAAATGTAGGAGCAGTCATTACATTATAAATGTAAAAATCCAGAAAAGAGGATACTATTCTATCATTAGATGCTAGATAATTTTAAAGATATTTCAAAGTTAAATACTGTCCACATTTAGGTATTCAAAAAATACAGCAATGTACTTTAGCTATTTCCTTTCTTGGGATAATATAAATGCAGTTTAGAGAGTAAAGAATCCTGATCACTATTGCCACAACCCAGCACAGACAATGTCTTGATTAGGATTTCCATACCTGTGTTGCAAGAATCCAGGGTAAACATTAGATGCAAGTAAAGATTCCTTTCTGGACTCCCTGGGACCATCTAATGCCGGTCCATTCCCCCCCGCCCCAGCTCAAGTATGGATGTTCTAACCATGAAGACTCTAAATGTTTCTAATCTTGAAGGGCCCAAGTGAATTGCCAAGAAGTTTTTCAAGGCCCAGCATCTTCAGAAAAAGATGTCGTACCTATCAGTTGCATTTTCAAATCTAATATAATTCAAAATTATGGTTACAGCTTTCATAACTTGTTCCTTTGTACCTAATATCCCATAGCCTTTCAATCCTGTTTTTATACAGTGAAGCAAGAAGAAAGCACTGTTTTTCATACCTTTTCTCACTGTCCACAGGACAATCTAGATTATTAATCATCACTTTCCTTGTGCCTCCCACGAAAAGGTTTTCTCCTCGAATAAAGATCTCTGTTCCTCCAGCCATTGGACCATAGGCAGGGTGAATGGAAGTTATGTTTGGCAGCTGTTGATGGTGAATAGAACAAGCAGTAACACATTGTTTTGATGTAACCAAATATTTATCTGATTACAATATTGTTAAAACCACTGATTATATAGAACATTAAATCTTCTGCATATGTTCAATTATAGTTTATAGCCAAGAAGTTATAGTTTGAGTATTTTGGATAAAATTATAGCAATGCCAACGATCACCGTTCCCAGTCTAACAGGCATTATGGGAATGATAGCTTAAAATGTTGAGGCCAGAAATTCCATCTATTTTTTTTCTCCACTGACCTGTATCTACATCTGCTACAGAGCTTTAACACTCTCCATTGCTGGACGCCAGTGCTTATCAGGAACTATTTATTACATCAAGGGCAATTTGTTGTAAGAAAATTAGCAAATGCTCAAGGAGTAACTGTATTAAACTCACCATAAATGTAAAACCACTGAGGATTGAGGAGCCAGTGATATAAAATGGGCTTGCTGCATTCTCTGTAATGGTCAGATTAATTTGTTGTGGTTCCATGATCTTCTCGATTCCCTTTGGTGACAAGATGCAGACAAGAACTTCAGCAAAATCCTTCCACTTTGGCACTTCATTATACCTAGAAAGCAGGTAGTGTGAAGAAAGGATGAAGAAAATACCGATTATAATAACTTACTACAATCTAAGGATTCTTTAGCATCAAGAAATAATACCCTTTTCATAAAATCATGTACTATTAATGAGTAACTAACCTTGAGCTTAGCCTAAGATTACTGACTTTGGAATGATGTACTCTGATCAGGTAGTAGAAAGAGTGAGAAAGTCACCTCTTCCCATTCTTAGCTGGTAGCAGGAATGTACCATTTGATTGTTGTGGAAAGGAACAATTCCACAGAACATTAAAGCCTTACTTCAGGGATGGATAGTGTTGGGGTGGGTGGGGAGCTAGGAATCCAGTTTAATGTGATGTGTCAAGGGTCACATGCCAAATGTAGGCTAAGCCAGAAGAGAACTCATGTACCCCTAGGTGCACAGCATATACCTCCTAGTCGATGGGTTCTAAGCAGTTGTGTGTGCTACCTTATACAGTGGAGATGCTAGCTTGTACAGCATAAGATGAGCACATCTGGAATAAAACTGAATTGTGGCTGAATGTGCAGCATTCTGTCCAAAATGTGTCAAAACTGACCAGTACTATCTTTTTGATTAGCAGGGAATTTTGCATATGACATGGGTATGACCAGAGCTGATAATTTAAACTATCTTATCAAAAACCCTTGACTGTCCAAAGCCATAACAGATAGTGGAGCTCAATATTTATGGGCCTATTTGGTGACAGCCCTGGTTTATGGAAATTGTGATTTGAGTTGTAACAGGAGATTATGATGATCTCATTTTACAATTCAAACTGGAAGGAAGGAAGGAAGGAAGGAAGGAAGGAAGGAAGGAAGGAAGGAAGGGAG